CCCGTTCGTATCTAGGGATCCGACGTAAGTCGGATCCACGTAAGTAGGGGACTGCCTGTACACTATATCTACTGGATCCCTCTTGTCCACATGTATGTTGACCCATTCAAAGAACTCCAATAGATTAGTAAGACATGATTTCCCTTTACAGAAACGATGTTGACTTTTGCCCAACAAATTATGTTCTTTTATGTGTCTGACAATTTTATTCTTTACTATAGTTTCAACTAATTTTCTTGGTACTGACCTTAGACTTACCAGTCTGTAATTGCTGGGATTGCCTCTAGAGCCCTTTTAAAATATTGGCGTTACATTAGCTATCTTAAATCAGAAACAGATAAAAAGGATAGGTTACAAACCATAGTTAATAGTGCCACAATTTCACATTTGAGTTCTTTCAGAACTCTTGGGTGAATGCCATCCGGTCCCGGTGACTTGTTACTGTTAAATTTATCAATTAATTCCAAAACCTCCTCTAATGACACTTCAGTCTGTGACAAGTCCTCAGATTTGTCACCTACGGGCCACGGCGCCCACTAGGGCATTTATGTGCGCCTGCCAAAACATCTGGGCTGGCCCCGCTCCCGGCGTGCGGCACACACGCGATGCCGGCACCGGGCGCAGGGCACGTGGGCAGCCCCTGATCCAGGAGCGGCTTCCTACCTCTGATGTACTTAAAAGATATTTTATTATTACTTTTTCAGTTTTTGGCTAGCTGTTCTTCAAACTCCTTTTTGGCTTTTCTTATTACATTTTTACACTTAATTTGGCAGTGTTTATGCTCCTTTCTATTTACCTCACTAGGATTTGACTTCCACTTTTTAAAAGATGCCTTTTTATCTCTCACTGCTTCTTTTACATGGTTGTTAAGCCATGGTGGCTCTTTTTTAGTTCTACTTTTTTTTTTTAATTTGGGGTACACATTTAAGTTGGGCCTCTATTATGGTGTCTTTGAAAAGTGTCCATGCAGCTTGCAGGGATTTTACTTTAGTCACTGTACCTTTTAATTTCTGTTTAACTAACCTCCTCATTTTTGCATAGTTCCCCTCTTTTAAATTAAATGACACAGTGTTGGGCTGCTGAGGTGTTCTTCCCACCACAGGAATGTTAAATGTTATTATATTATGGTCACTGTTTCCAAGCAGTCCTGTTATAGTTACCTCTTGAACCAGATCCTGTGCGCCACTCGAGAATTGCTGCTGCCCTAGTGGGATCCTGTACTGCTGCTCCAAGAAGCAGTCATTTAAGGTATCAAGAAAGTTTGTCTCTGCATCTTGTCCTGAGGTGATGTGTACTCAGTCAATATGGGAATAGTTGAAATCCCCCACTATTATTGAGTTCTTTATTTTGATAGCCTCTCTAATCTCCCTTAGCATTTCATAGTCACTGTTACTGTCCTGGTCAGGTGGTCGATAACAGATCCCTACTGTTATATTCTTATTAGAAGAGCAGGGAATTACTATCCATAGCGATTCTATTGAACAAGTTGATTCATTTAAGATTTTTACTTCATTTGATTCTAAATTTTCTTTCACATATAGTGCCACTCCCCCACCTGCATGACCTATACCTTAGATGCATAAATCCCAGAGTTGAAATTGCTGCCCTTCAGTTTATAGTCACTGCATATAACAGAAGGACATAAGCTTATTCTACTTCTGCATGTCATCTAGTTATGATAAGGGAAGAAATGCAGACGGTAACATACTAGTTAAATAACCATTCATGACACTTTATATGGAGTATGGTTCACTTCTTTAGCATAACTAATATTTTCTGTAACCTTAGGTTAATGTTTCATCACTGCTGGGATAAAAAACAGGTTTATCATCATATGTCAGAATCTGCTCTGCTGTTGCTTCATTATGATTAGGTTACATACTATTTTCCATAAAGAGGTCTCGAGAGGGAAACTGGAACCCATTGCTTTCGATCATCAGGTTTATTTTCATCATGCTAGCACAGAAAATATTCTTGTAATATTGGGATCTCTGGAACAGACGATCTGAGCATCCTTTCTGGGTACAGAAGAAAACCAGGTTATTGTATTGTATTTTAATACATTCATTGTTAAAAAGAATCACATTGGAGTAGGGAGGCTGAGATCAGATAGATCTGATTTTGGATTTAAACACTGCAAGATAATTTAGCCTGGGCATCTTTACTAATGCAAAGGGGACAGAGAGGGCACACTTTTCTACACCCTGGAATGATCTGGCCATTGGAAGTACAGAGTGAGCATCAGTCCATCAGCACAAGAGAGATGATACTCTCAACCAGCATGTTGTCATGGCTATCTGTAGCCAGACGTGAACCCCCATTTTAACATCCATCTTTGTCTGCTTGAAAGCATGCAGGGCACATAAGAGCAGAAAACAGCATGATCTTTGAAAACCTTGGAGCAGGAGGTTCAGATATACTGGCTCAGTGACCATGGACAACTGTAAGCAGAGATAAGAGGGTGGTCAAACTAAGAGGCTGCACAAAAGTGTCCTTGACTTAACCCATATTGATACGAACACACAGCAGTCCACGGGGGGAGGAATCTCCCGCCCAACAAGAACATCCGGCACTCCTAATTTAGCTATCTTCATCTCTTACAAGTGTAAATTAACTTGAAACTTGTTTGTAAGAACTGGCGCCACAAAACGGACCAGTACAATTTGGCATCTTAAGATAAGAAAGAGAATATTGGCCCCCAGGGGTATAAAGATGAGTCCAGCAGCACACCTATTTTGTGTGTCAATCTACCACCTATCTGCTGGTCGGGTTTGGTGTTTGACCTCCCGAGGTTCCAGAGGGGACGCCCACCTCGTATTCATCTTTCTGACACGCTGGAGTCGAGAGGCACAGAAGGGGGTAAAAATTGTACCTGGATGTGGTCCTTTGTTTAAGTATATATATACATAGTGTTAGAGCTCTTTAAAGATTAAGCTGTCACTTGGTACCATTATTTCTATTTTCTATCTTTACCTTTTTCCTGTAATCATTTTTAAGACCTATATATATATATTTGCTAGCATTTAAGAAATAGAGCAATAGCCATTGTAACCATATGATGTATAAGCTTCTTTAATAAACCTGTAACTGTTTAAGCTTTAACCTGACTCCTTCAGTTGCTGTAATAGAACCAAGCACAATTTAAAAGAACTTCAGCCGGTCATAAAGGGACAGACATAGGGAGAGCTTGGGCGTTTGGATCTGTGTTACTCCCAAGTGACAAGATCCGTTGGGGCACCTTTTCAGCCTTTCCTAGGCTGCCCACTGCGAAGGAACCCCTGTGTTCTAGCAGCTAAAATCTAAGGTGTAATAAGCCCTTCCTATATAACGGGGCATCTGTTGGCCTGCTGGCCACCCTCTGCAATGGGACCCCGGTCCTAGCAGTAAAGACACGGACGTTAACCCTTTTCTCGGAAACATACACACACACACTGCCCTGACTGTCGGCTGACACTATCACTTATAATTATACCAAGACATGCATCAGTTGCCCTGAGCCTAATTACAGTTGTTTTAAATATTGTTATACTTGAGCAACCAAGAGCTTGTCTCCACTGAGGAATGGATTGATGCTGCAGGGATTGATTTAGAGGGTCTAGTGAAGACCCACCAAATCAACCGCTAATCACTTTTCTGTCGACTCTGGTACTCCACTGGAACAAGGTTAGAAGAGGGACTCAACAGAAAGTTTCTTTTGTCAACCCAGCACAGTGTGGGCCCCACAGTAAGTAGAATTAAGCTGTGTTGACTTGAGTTACATTGGTAATGTAACTCTAATTGCACAGCTTAGGCCAAGTCTACACTAAAAGGGAAAGTCAAATCAAGATACGTGACTCCAACTACGTTAATTACGTAGCTGGAGTCAATGTACCTTGTTTCGAGTCTCCCTGCCATCCCCACAGTGGGAGGGCTATGGGAGCAAACACTCCCATTGTTTTTCCTTACTCCTCACAGAAGTAGGAGTACCGGCCATCTATGGGGACCCCCTCTGAGTTTGATTGAGCGACTTTTAACTAGACTCACTAAACCGAACTCCGGAAGATCGATCACAGCAGTGTCAATCTTCCATTTAGTGAAAACATGAACTGAGATCAGCCTGTCCCCGTAGTGTCGACCTACCCCAAGTCTTAAAAACTGAGGTGCTGAATGAATTATGGCTGTAATGGCAGTGGGGGCTGCCCTGACCATCAGTAGCTGCTCCACAAAGCCTGAGAAGAATATCCCCACCATGCAAATCCCCAGCACCAAGCCAAGATGCTTGAAGTAGACAGTAAGGAGTAAAATTGCCTAATAATGGGAAGCTGAACTGTGAAGGCCAGGGGAAAACATCAGATTAAAACATACAGGTGCATTCCCTGGTGCCTTATGCAGCACTCCAGAATTTAGGGCAGCTGTGTTTGAAGGGCAACATCAGGCTACACACATTTGGTAGAATCTCATCCCTCTCTGCCACATGTTAAGTATCTTCTTGTCCGACATGATCCACTAAAATGATGAGCTGCCTCCCAGACCAATCAGAGTAGAGGCTGAGATGGGCAGCATGTGATCCCCCTGTTTGTCCCCAGACACACACAAATGAGTAACTGAAGCAGGTTGCCTTCATCATCCAAGTCTAACCCCACCATGACTCTGTATTCCCCACTCATCTTCCTTCACCACTCCTGTGCTGTACCAGACGAGCCTCACTCAGGGTCCTCCTCTCTCTTGCCTCCATCCAAATTCTTCCACTTTAATAACGCTGGAATGAAAACGATATGGCAGTATCCACCCCAGAACTAAACCAATGTACTCTCCTATAGCCTTTCCATACTGGTTCTCCCTCCTTTCCCTCTTAGCTCTTTCCAAAGTCCATCAGAGCTTCTTTCCTACAGAAACAGATGTTGAATTTTCTGCTTGTTGCTGAAGTCCAATGTAGCAATTGGCCATCTTAGTATATCTAGAAACCCTATCAATAAACTGTGTAGGACAATGTCTTCTGAACAAGTTTGACCTGTTACCTCCACATATCCAATATTTCACTCATAGCTATATCTTGTATGTCCATTACCATCCTGCTTTCTCCCCTCCTTCCCTATTTCTCTCTGGAGTCATTGCTCCTAACTGTCTGTCCCCGCCATCTTGTACATCCAGGTCAGCCCCTTTACTTCCCATTGCCACTTCTGTTGCAATTCTAACTAATAGGAGAGCAAAGCCACAATCAACAAACACTTCAAGTCCACTCTGCCACATCCCCATGTTGTATCATGTATATTTCTCCTGTGATGGCTGCTAACCCTAATCTGGGCACTTACCGCATCTGCAAACAAAAAGTAGAAAAGCTGATGTGACAGGCAATAATCTGAGCATCCAGACATTGTCATGATTTTCCTACAGGCCTTGGTGACAATGCAGGAACTGCCATTATATTTCCTGTTGAATAAGCAGGACAACAGTCACGAATAGCTTAAGTGTCTGAAGACAAGACTCCGGTAACTAAATGTACAGGTGTATTCTCTTCTCAGTGTGTATGTGGAAGAGTGAAACTCCCACACATCACTTAGAACATAAGAATGGCCATACTGAGTCAGATCAACAGTCCATCTAGTCCAGTATCCTGTCTTCCGACAGTGGCCAATGCCAGATGCTCCAGAAAGAGGGAACACAATAGGTAATCATCATGTGATCCCTCTCCTGCATGTATTTTATGAATGTGAATGCAGGTTAAAGAGTAGGGAAGGAGTGTCCCAGAGACTAGAAATGGTCAAAGATTATCTGTTGATAAGGAATAAAACTCACCAAGTTCCAAGCAAATATGCAAAGCATTTATCACTCATTTCCTCTGTAAAGCAATTGATGTTGTCAAATGCAGAGTATGCAAAAGAAGAGTCTGTTTGGTTCCACAAATGAGGAAGAATCCAAAAATGTAGTTCTAGGGTTGGTTGAAATTCTGAAAGCCAATCAAAGCAGAAAGCCCATAAATAATGAAGTGGCAGCAAGAGCGACACAGCGCTTTCCTAGTTATTCAACCTTTCTGCCTTCTGGCCTGCATTAACAATAGCAGAACATATGGTTAATAGTGTACTATGGAGGGTTTTCCCCGTGGCATGGGGGATCAGATACACTCCATATGCATCCCTTGAAAGATCTATGCTTCAGATGAGCCATTTCCTGTGAGATACTATACCACAGAATTATGCACTCTCTTGATGTCCAAATCGCTGGGTACAAGGTTAATCCATCAAGTCAGTCATGACCGGACACAATGACAGGAATGTATTTGGAATGATTTTGAACTATTACTTTGGGGGATGCAATAAATCAAGTCTAGAAAAGTCTTCTGGTTTTTAACAAGCGTTAAAAGGCTATGCACCTGACAGTTTGGAGATGACACAGCTAGACAAGCCATGAAACAGGCAGTGGATTTAGCATGAGTGACTTTGAAGAAAACATTATCAGAACCTCAGTGAATTTTCCAGGGCCACACAATAAACCAGTGCAAACCGTTCCCTTTCTAGCGATTAAATACCCTCCTTCCCCACGTATCTACTGGGATACAATACACAGGAGATGCTGCTCTGTCTCTGATAAGTGCCCTGTTCCTATGCAGAAGATATACCATGTGCTTTATAAGGCAAAACAGATGGGGGACACATTTCAGTATAAACACTTGCGGCATAACATTAAGTGCCCTTTTGCACCATCCCATTGGAATTGATGCCACTTCAATTTTACCTTTGAAATACTCTGGGTCGCTGTGCCCAAAAGAAAGAGCTGCTTTTTCAGTCAGAGAAGACAACTTCTTCACCAGCCTTTTGACTTGGGCCTGCTGAGACAGTAATTCACGTTCTGAGGGCCATTTCTCCAGGGCTCCTTTCAAATGAACTGCAGAAAGACAATGAGGTGTAGTGAATGGTCACAACCTTTAGGAGCTTGTGTATGTACATTAGTAACCTGATTGGACTTGTGACAACTTCCCCAGTTGGTCAGCAGATACTTTGCCAAGCTGTATTATCACACTGTGTGTGAACTCTTCCTCTCTGTTGAATAGTCACTAAGATCCAGGAACCTATCGCTGCTACCTTGGGAGAAGATGGGAGAAAATAAAGCAGGGCCCTCGGATACCCTGGGGTGAAAAGCATGATGTTATTTGGCAGGTGTCAGCAGGTGGCACTGTTGCACATAGTCTTGCATGGGTTGTGTGTATGTGCGAGCAACTGTTCAGTCTGGGGAGGACAAGCTGTGTTAGTCTTTGATAATGCAAGATTCTGTGTGGGGGCAGGTGTTTTTGGAGAGGGAGTTGAGGGAAAGTTTGCTTTCCAACATATGCTCTGTTTAGAATCAACTGTTGCTCCTTGGAAACCAACCATTGGGAGTTAGTCTTAGATTCCTGGAAGGAGGGATTGCTCTGCATGCTGTTTGACCATCTCTGTCCCAGGACTCACTATAGCAGGTAAGTAAAACAAATCACACTTAGACTATATCCAGGCTCCATGCCACTTGTTTTTACTCCACTGTGAAAAGCCCAGACATCCCCTACCATATGATGGAGGAAGGTTACTAATGCCAGAGCAGGACACTGGTGATTAAAGATAGAGGCTATGCTGGCTGCTCAGACAGAGGGAGAAGGACCAACTGTGAACGCTCTTAACATGTTCAAGGATTCCTTGCTGCCAGAAGCTTTTAATCTGCCTCAGAGATAGGGCAGCCCAGACTCACACTTGGTCCTTCGGTGGGAGCAGTATCCAGGGTCAGAAAAGACATGGTAATATAGGGGGTATTTGAGGGAATGAGATAAGGCCCCACTTCCACGCCACCCCCTCTGCTGAGGCCCCACCCTCACACTCTCTCTTCCCACCCCTGCTCCAGTCCCCCACCCAGGCCCCCACCTGCCCGCCAATCGCTGCTCTCCACTCTCCTTGAAGTGTCCCCGGAACAAGGCCATGTGCGGCCTGCACAGCGGGCCCTGTCTCACACGGGCCCTGAGGTGCCCAGGGGACCATGCTTCCTGCTCCCCCCTCCGTCCCACGGACAAACAGGCAAGGGAAGTGTCTGGCCACACTGGTATCCCATGGGCAGGAGAGGCAGGGCTGGCTTTATGAAGTGCGAGGCCCAATTTGAACCGTTTTGGTGGCCCCTCCCCCCCGGATTTTTTGTTGAGCGAAAAAAAAACCCCACAACAAACCACAACCACACACAAATATCACATCAAGTAGATCTGATCAAAATGTATATCTGAACATTTAAAAAAAAATGCCATCCTTTATTATGCAAAATTTTACACAAAAATAAATCAGTTGCCTTAAGTTGGGCTTGTTTAGTTTGGAAAAGACGATTAAGGGGGGACATGATAGCAGTTTTCAAATATCTAAAAGGGTGTCACAAGGAGGAAGGAGAAAATTTGTTCTTCTTGGTTTCTGAGGACAGGACAAGGAGTAATGGGCTTAAAGTGCAGCAAGGGAGGTTTAGATTGGACATTAGGTTAGGAAAAAATTCCTAACTGTCAGGGTGGTCAAATATTGGAATAAATTGCCAAGGGAGGTGGTGGAATCTCCCTCTCTGGAGATATTTAAGAACAGGTTAGATAGACATCTGTCAGGGATGGTGTAGACGGAGCTTGGTCCTGCCTTGAGGGCGGGGGGCTGGACTCGATGACCTCTCGAGGTCCCTTCCAGTCCTATGATTCTATGATTCTAAGTGTAGGTCAAATATTTTCAATTGCAAACTATCCAATTTTTCAATAAAGTTTAAAGTTTGATTTTTAAAAAGTTACCAGAGAGCATTGCAGTTTTCTGTTCTATTGATTTACTTTTTAAATAGCAAAAATGAAGTCTTTGTTAAGAAAGTTCAGTTCTGTGGTCAAATTCCAGTCCTTAGTGATTTCAGCATCAATGATTTCACTAGGTAATATGGTACCTCACCACCATTGCCTCCTTTGCACTGCACTTCAACACATATTGCCTGCATGTTGAGTCCAAGGTCAGTCTACACAAGATTTTATCAAAGATTTTTGCTCAAGCGATCACTGAGACAAGACAAGGACTCTCAATTGATTCTAGTCAGCTCTGCCTTTAAACACTGGATGTAAAGTATCAGATATAATTGAGGACTCCCAAATAGACTCTACACCACCAGAAATAAAACCTGTTTCCATCTTCTGTGACTTTCAATTAGATGTGACTCACTATCCTCTGCTTAGTGTTCAAGTTATGGTAGACCCTAAGCCAGGTCATATTAAGTTCAGGTCTTTTAATCATACAATATGGATTACAACATTTCATTCTCCCAATCCAAGTCTTAAGTGAATTTCAACCCAAAAGAGCCAAAATTGATCACCTTGAGTCAGCAAGTGTGTCTACTGATCTCTGTGGCAAAGTAAGTTGTCTATATAAATAAGGTTTGCTCGTGAAGCCTTTTCCTATAGTTGATTAACAGATGGCAGTAGATAGCTCATTCAGACCACTGGCTGATAATAGTTAGTCACCCTGACCAGTCATTAATCAGAGTCATGGACTCACCCTACTCTCCATTGTCTCTATGATTCTCTGATGACCTGCGACAAAAAAGGAGGGTGGAAAGGGAAACTGAAGGGAGAGACCTCTCTAAATTCACCAATCAAAGAGTTGTACTGCCAACCCAAAAATCACAAGGAACGCCTACACAAAGTTATGAGACTGGACTACAAATCATAAGATTTTAAAAAAATAAAACGTTGGATTTTTATTGGCCTTTTGTTTCTTGAGTATTTAGGGTTCATGTTTTAAAGCTTTCCTCCTTATCTGTAAGGCCCAGAAGAATAGAGAACTTTTTTTTAAATGAAAGCTGAGATTCCTACATAATCAATTGACGCCAGACCTTTAGAAAAACACCAAATGTTTTGAAACTCATGGTAAAACAATGGAAGAATTCTTGTGAGCCCATGCTTTGCCCACAGTATAAATAAAAAAAAACACACACAATATCTTCCCCACTAAACATCCTAATGAGATACTGCAAATGGTGAACTGAATTCAACAGCTCCTGATATGAACAGGTATCAACCTAGTTTTTCATATTTGAGATGGGTTACCAGGAATCATACATGACAATATGAAATCTTTGCACTCTCAAGTCAGCCTATTCACAAAGCACCTATAATTGTGATCCATGCATTTATTGGATAGTGAAAGAGAAAGGAGGGGAATTTGTGTAGATAAATGTTCAAATTAAAAAAAAAAAGTCTGAAGGAATTAGAACTGGGAGCCTACATCTCATGTTCAGAATTGACTAGGACACTTATGACCAGATTTTCAAAGGTGTGGAAAGATCAGATAGATATATTTGAAGATCCGAGTTGGCAACTGTCTCTTTAGGAGCTTAATTACCTTTGAAAATCTGAGCTTAGATTTCCAGGTCCAATTTTCAAATATGACTTTAGTCACTCAAGTGCTTTTGAAAATTTTAACTGGGGGCCTAAAGGCAGGAGATACGGTATTCCTTTTAAAAACTTGTGACATATATTTTTAACTAAATTTTATATTATTTTTTTCCCAAGGGCAACTAACCCCTCCGGCCCCCTCACTATGCCACTGCCCCCCCTCCTGCAGATCTATCATCTTATGCATTTGCAAGATCTGTGAGAGCCGTCCCATGAATCTGCAGTTAGTGTCTG